CTGAGCTCCAAGCCGGATTATCCCCTAGTGAAGCCTAAAAGTGACCATAGTCTAGTCAGCACCTTGTTTATAGACTATGCGTATCCCTGTGCAGAAGACCCAGGTAAGCTGTGGCTGGACTCCTGACGCACGCATGGAAGCTATCAGATAGGAAGTGTGTCTTGTTCTAAGCAGATAAGCTTGATGGGAGTATGTTCTGCAGCATAGATAGCTCAGCTCATACACCGCTCCAGCTCCACTGAAATGCCCTTGGATTAGCATCTCTTCCATGCTCTCCATCCTGAATGTGGTCCTGATTCGCAATAAAGGAAAGATCCGTGGCATGAAGATGATCTGTAGGTTTTTTTTAAAAATCCTAGTTAGCAGGAATATAGGCAGAAAGATCCCAGTACACACATCTTTTATTAGGGAAAGAAAATACTGGGAAGTGTGAGTGATTTTAATCCCAGCCCCCAGCTCCCAGCCTGGCATCATTTGCCTGGCAGCACTGGATGGTCTTGGTGGCCTTGGGTCTGGCCCAGCCTGAGACTGTGGCCCTCCACTGGGGATTGTCATTAGTGCTTGTCTGGGCTTCCAGCCAAAACTGGTTGGCAAGAGTCGTATCCAGTCACTCAAGGACTGTTTTGGGGCCATTTCCTGTATAATTAAAACAGGGCTGAGCAGCAGGGTGGGTGATGCCATTACAGCAGTAAATTAGCCTAAGGGACGGGCTGTAGTAGGAGATCCAGGATGCTCTGTGTGCGTGTGCACGCCTGCGCCAAGAATAGAGAGCTTATGGTGCTGAGGGGTAAGCCAGGGTTGAGTCCAAGATTGAAAATGAGAAAGAGGAGATAACAGATGAACCAGGGATTTTTTTTTTAATTTTGTTTTTTTGGCTAGAAGGTTAGTCAAACTATGTGAACATTGATCAGAGGGTAGCTGTAGTGCGATGATCGAGTTTGAATGTGGGTTCTAAGCAGAGCAGCTCTCCTGAAACAAACGGTGGGCCTCACTTCCATAGGAGCCACATGGAGAGAGTCTTCTAATCCGATGACCAGGTTTTGATTCTTCCGGTAAGGGGTAGGGTGGGACCAGATTTTGACCAGCACCACAGCTGATTCACATGGAGCTGGGCCCATACTTTGAATAACTGTCGTAGTATTTAGTATGCAGTATGGTCAGTTGGCTGGTCTTCAAAAATGGAAAGGCGGTCCTCAACCTTTGCCAAGTTCCTCAAGCATTTAACAAAGGCTTGCCACCGGGACCCATTTGTTGTTGCATGAAGAGGCTAGTTCCAATGAACCAAGCCTTGCAAAGGCACGGAACCAAGTCAGAAATGAAAGCGACTTCCCTGGGCTGGGTTTCGGTGTTCTCTGGGAATCAGGAAACAAACCATGGTCACTGAAACTAGCCTTGGGGGGAGGGGGTGGGCCACTGGGAGGACTCCCTGAGGGCCTCGGAGCAAGCTGGCAAAAGCCAGTGATTAACATTTTAGGAATTTTTGTAAGCTGCTGGCTAAACACAGCCATCATTAAAAATTAAATTGTATAAACTCAATAGTTAAGTAATTTATACTTAAAAAGGTAATAAGTACTCAAAACATCCCATTGTAATTTACTACATTTTACTATGCTGTGCTCTTGAGGTTTGATTCCCCCCCCCCCCTTCTCTATAGTATCTGTTTGGTAGAAATATTACTGTGTTTCTTTCCCTCTGAAATTGTTAATGTGGTATAAGCCACGGTGGGAATATTTACACCAGGGAAATTGGCAGAGGCTAAAAATCAGCTCCATACCCCCTTTTCACAAGCTGGCTGTAGTACTTGGACCAGCACACCACGACTAATAGTTCTTAAAGAAATCAGGAGGGGTGCCGTGAGGAAAATCAAAGCGCACACCATCTATAGGCCTGAAAAACCTTTAAGTCCACCTGTACAGCAACAGCAAGGATGAAGGTGTGGCAGCTTGACCTAGTGTTGTCACCAGCCCTCCCCCCCCACCCCCCACACACATTTTCCTATTCCTTCAAAACTTGCCTAGATTTTTGCAGTCTGAGGCCATGGTGGTGGGGAGCAAATTTGAGGGAGGTTCCTTAATCTTGCTTTGAGAACCTGAAGATTCTCTTGCCAAAAGATGAGATCAGCCAATGGTGCCCTCTAGTGCCCAGAAATAGACTGGCTCCAAAGAGAACGGAGGGTTTCTTGCTTTGTTGTTTACTGCTCTGAGAGTTAGCCCAGACTCAGGGTCAGTCACACACCATTTCATTGAGACCCTGGCAACATATGAGCTTCAAGTAATTTATTCAAAATGAAAGTAATTATGTACACTGGAGTTTTTATAACTGCAGAGCCCAGAATGAAATTCTGGGGTTCCTGGTTCCTCCTTTAAAGCTTAACTTTGCATTGGAGAGACAATGGAATGGGCCCTCCATACAGGCTGCACTTCTCATTTGTCTCCTTAGTAATCGATGGTTTGAGCAGACATTATGGAGCATTTACTAATAACTAAGCAACTGGCTCCAATTTGCTGTTTCACTTTGAAAATGCCCACCTTTTGATAAAGACTCACTCAGTGCTGCTCCTTGAATGGCGGTCCTGTGAACTTGCTACTCACTGAGGTGGGAGGTTTGAGTCCATCCAGAGGCACCTTGGCCTGGCAGTGCAAAGGTGTGTGCCATATAACGTCCATATGGGAGTGTCTGACTACCTACACGCCCATGGTCCCATAAAGTTATAAATTCAGAATTAATTAGTTCAGAAATCCCTGCCAGAGAATGGGATGAAGTGGATCTAACGGGCTATATATAGCAAATGCAACAGCATTTCCACACACAAGTACCCCATTGTCTCTTATACACAATGGAATTACACAGGTGTATAATGGCATGGTGCCTTTATAAAGGCAGTGCGTGGCTTATGAACATGTGTCACTCCTGTCTCTAAGATGAATTTGTTTATAAGTTGGAACAGTAGTAAGGTTCTAACATCAGTCAAAATGTTTTAGTAGAGGGTGTACCTTTCTCTGAATAAACACTTCCAGTTACACTAAACTATCTTTAGGAATCATACAATGTGTTACTGGACATTGCAAAGCAGTGTCTTTGTCATTGTGTACCATGTCCCTCAGATTTACGGGGTGTGGTTTGTAGCTATGGTGGTATGTAACCCAGGCATTGCAAGTTGGTTATGGTGTTTGCACGTCTAAGCCACATATTGTCGTGGATTGTAGACGTTCAGTTACATGTGACTCCTGAAAAACTAGGCGTTGAAAATTCTGTGGAGCACAGTTCTACTTGGACAACACACACTTGGGGTTGCAATGAGTTGCAGTGGGGTTTGGCAATGTGATTTTCTTTTCTATCCTTCCTGTTCAGGCCTCTCTCAGATGTTTGTTTTCAAACAGAGAACTAGTTACTGTGACACTTGGGGCAGCAGCAACCTGAACCCTCTTACCAGCTACTCTGAGGGCTTTTGGAAATGCACGTGAAGGTCATATTGCAACTATGGGGAAGACTCAAAAGACTTGGAACCAGACTTCTTCCAGGGTACTTTTCAACATTGTGTGTGTGTCATCTTGAGATTGCCAGGCTGTATTTTAGGAGGTGCCTATCCTCCTCTGTGGAGTGGCTTTTAAAATGATGACTCGAGTGGCTCTAGGGGCAGCTGTTTTCATTACAATAGGACTGAGAATAGTCAATTTTTACTCTTGGGTGGGTGCAACTTTAAATTTAACAAGGCTTGAGTATTCTTACATATTTGATAAATGGCAAATTGTGGTGTTGAAAAGCCTGCAGCATTGTGCTATTTCATTAGAGCCTGGGAAAGTTGTGAAATCCAAATGATATATTAATGTTATATCTAATTCCTGTGGTCTCAGCTCAGGGGGTCACTTGCTCCCTAAAACTTACTAGGACTCATCTCCTTTGGGCTGACACTTCCCACATGAAGCCTCAAACCTGGCTCTTTCCCACCACTCCCATCCCCCCTCAGGTGGTCTCACGTTTGTCTTCTAGACAGGACAACCAAATATCAAGTGTTAATGCTCCCTAGTTTTGCTATAACCCAAGCTTTGAATTAAGGATTTCAAATTTCTTAATAATGTAACAATTTGACTTTTACTGCTGAAATAGACAAGAATAACCTTATTCCCTATGATCTTTCAATGTTTACAAACCTAATAGTAATCCCTGAAGGGCATGTTTGTGTTTATGTAGAATAATGCGTCAGTTATACATCAACTAGCTCGTTGGCAAGTCTCGAGTAGTTGGGTGCATCTGATAGCATGAGGCTTTGAAACATGAGATGGTTTGTGAAATCCAGTTGACTTAGTGGTCGTGCAATTGTATTTAATTCTTAAATCATTGAATGTTGATAACCCTAAAGCATTCCCAACTGCCCAAGAATGGAAATTCATACCCAAGTGACAAATGTGCTTCAAGTGATTAGGTCCCATCCTCTCATAAGATCAGGAGCCCTGGTGGTGTAGTGGTTATGTATCGGGCAGGTTAAAACCAGCCATTCTGCTGGAAAAGATGAGACTTTCACATTCTTGAGTTTGTTTCAGAAACCCACAGGGGGCAATTCTCCCTTACCCTGTTGGGTTGTCGTGAGTTGTAATGAACTTGATGGCACTTGAGTTTTGGTTTTCATTTGTTCTAGCTAGTCCTAGAGCCCCATGCGATTGCTTTGGGGAAACTTCCTTCCATTCTTAGTGACATCCTGTTAACTTTGTGGTCTGAAGAACTCAGACCCACTCCAGAATGAAATGTGACCCCTTATGAAAACTCGCAGGGTCTTTGGGAATGACCTACCCCTGCCTGCCACGTTACAGATGAGGAATCTGAAGCAGACTCGAGCCCGGGGCTTGGGGGAGCCGTGGTCTTACTTCAAGGTCTGAGACCCACCGGTTCATTAGATTTTAAGCCTACGATGATTCTTTACCACAGCTTCAATGAAGCACTGCGTTGGCTACTCCTGAAAATGGATGGCCACTCCCAGAGTCAAAAACAACTAGAACACAGACTTAAAAAACCAAGTCATTTAATTGCGTTTTTGAAGGTAAACAATACATGGAGCTGGATCCCAAGCCCCAAGAACGCCAGAGAGACGGGCTGAGTCCCGTGGCGCAGTATTCTCTACGCGCTGGGCACAACTCAAGGTGTTACGAGGCAGCGCACTTATGGAATTCACGCATTCCGGTAGCAACTCTGCAAACTGCCAGAAACGGACTCCATTCAGGATGGGGAGGACTCAATTCCCTGGTTTGAATGAGGAGAACCAAGTTTTACACGTACGCCTCAGGTTTCTCAAACCAGCTTGAGGCCAACAGTCAGACATACCACCAGCTCCTACGGGCTAAACTGCAGTTTAGGTTCCCCCTCTCCATCCCCTGCCACGCAATGCCACAGCCAGTGACCCAGGCAGAGAGCTCGCATCAATACCGCTCGTTAGCAAGCACTTAAGTGAAAACAACCCTCTAGTGGCACACTGATTTCGTTTATAAGATTTTAATTTACAAATTAAAAAAGCTACAGGTTTCATTTTTTCTCCTTTTTCTCTTCTTTCTTTACATCACTCTTTTCCTTGTCTTTATCTTTCTCCTTGTCATCTTTCCTATCCTTTTTGCTCTCTTCCTTTTCCTGCCCTTCTTTCTTCTCCGCATCCCGGTTGGCAATCTTGTTGTTGATGAGGTTGTGCAGGGCGACCACAGACCGGATCAGCGAGGCCAGGTACACCACCACCATCTGGTCGTTGGTCTTCAGGTAGAAGGCCTTGACGAACTCCTGCAGGCTGACGTCTGGCAGTAGGTTGAAGACGTCCTGCAGCTGGTAGATGATCTGGTGGTTGATGGGCAGCTTGCCCGTGGCCACTTTCTCCAGGTAGCTCCTGATATCCAGGAGCTTGGAGTTCAGTCCCTTCAAACCATGGACCTGATTTGTGATTCGCTGGGAAAGCGTGCCCACGGTGGTGTCTTTGATGTCTCTGTCACACCCAACAAGAAAAGACAGGCAAAGCATCAGTGCGCGACATTACCGCGAAGGCTCAAAAAGAAACGCTTTCTGGGGAGCAGCAACTTTCCCAAGATGCCACTTCTTCCCCATTTGATAAAAGGCTGTGGTGAAAATGGGGTATATTTTAGCTATATCATACTAGAGAGCGAAAATGAAATCATTTTCACTTTAAACAAATTTGGGTTGGTGTTTCAGCTCTGCCGGGAACTCCCTGCATGCTGTCCCTCCATTTCCCCGTTCCTGTAGAGGACTACTGGAACCAGCCAGCAAGCCATATTGGAGCTCGAGGGGCACTCCATTTGGCCTTTTCAAATGCAGGCGTGAAGCCGCTCTATTGGGAAATTGATACCCACTGGCAGAGCTTACGTGTCCATTTGTTTCATGCATCTGCTCCTGTCATGCTTATCAGTTTCTGGGAAAGGTGTGCTCGCCACAAAGCTTTAACTCTTAAAAAGTACTTTAGGGAGTCTGTAGTTCAGTCGCCTTCAAATTGTGGTTAAACAAACAAAAGACCAGACGGGCAGTGCATGTGGAGAGTCGTGGAGGTGTGAGTGCTGGGCCAAGATGAGAACCCAGGCCTCTTTATTCCCAACTCAGCAGACTTCCTTACACAGGTCAGTCCTTTGGGACACCAGGCTGCTCGGCAGAGAGGGCTGCTCATAGCTCTGAGGCCGCACCCAGGTCTCACCGTAACAAGTGTTCCACTCCAACTTCCTCTGCTTCCTCCGCTCCAATTTCACTGGTTACATGCTCAAATGTTTTTGAGGTTGGAGTTCCATCCTGGGAAAGGAAGCTTAGCTGTAGTTATTTACTTACAAATACACAACAGTGTGCATTCTCTTTCCACACCTTTATGCTTTGGCTTTCAGTCAGGTCATGAGAATTCTCCATGGGAAAGGTGGGGAAAGCTTGCCTGAAAGCTTTCTAAGGTAACATCACCCTGGCTCTGCTCAAAGACAAGGTGTGCTCGCTCCTGTTGGAGTGGCCACTAACTTGTTTTCTGAGGAAAATATTGATAGCCCTTGTTGGGATGACACTCAGGGAGCTTTGGTTAGGGTGATATTTTAAAGCACACAGCTCTTTCTAAAGCAAGCCACACAGCATGTAAATTCATGCTAGAAAACATAACCTCACACGATCCCAGAGCACCAAAACAATGGATTTGAGTAGCCAGCTTTCTGGTGGTCGGAAGTCCTCAAGGATCACCCTGTGATGTTGGGCATAGGGTTTACTTAGTGACTTCCTGAGGGGGCCCAGGAAGTTTTTTCCAGACCTAGTGCCTAAAGAAGTGGTGCCTCCTTTGTAAAACAGCGAGAACAAGGAAGATTGCCCTGCTAGGGCTCCAATCTGGCCTTGCCATGTCCGGAGAGGGAGCTGTGTGACTATTGGGATCCCTTAAACGACAAGCTTACACTCAGTGCTGTACTGGGGTCTCACTCGAGTGTGAAACAGGCACATGGCAGTTTCCCCTTTGCTTTGGAAGCTAGGAAGGCCAGAGCCTGCAACAACCCACCGAACTGCACAGCGTGCCTGTCAGGCACTAACTCCTCCCTCTGGTTTTCTTTTATAACTAGCAAGACTGCAGCTTGCTGTGGAGTGTATGTGGAGCCTCAAACCCATGTGGAAAGAAGCAGGGTGAAAGTGGAAAACACTCCCAAGAAAGACTGAGGATAAAAATGGCAGCTGGGCAATGAATTTGGACAAATCAATCAACTTTCATTGTCCTCAGTTTTCAACTCAAAGCAACTCTATGGGACAGGGCAGCACCGCCCCTGTGCGTTTTGAAACTGTTCATGGAAATGGAAAGGCTTTCTTTTCTCTTGTTGAGCAGCTGGTGCTTGCGAACTGCTGACCTTGTGGTTAGCAGTCCAATGTGTAACCACTATGCCACTAGGACTTCTAGCAAGAGGCAAAGAAATGGGAAGAAGCAAAATTTGCGGGGTGCTACACTAAAATGTTCTTTGCAGATTTCCAAATTGAACATAAATACTGCATATGTACATCCAAAGACAGAGTTTAAAGCCACCCTTCAGACTCTTGACTTCGGAAGTTCAAGACCAAGCTTTTGGGTGGATACTAAAAGTACAGCTATTTTGCTCTCTCTCATATCAAGCCCTACAAATGAACTTGAGTTGTTTTGCTGGAAATGGAGAAAGTGATCCGAGCAGCTCTTCCCTTCTGCGCTAGAAGCACAGTGCACACAGGAGGGCCTGGGTGCTGTGCACTTGAGCAGCCAGGAGTCTGACAATCACACCAGGACCTTGCTGTCTAGCTTCTGGCAGCTCTGGCTTATTCAACTTGAAACCCAGGCGCTTCTCTGCAGGGCTGGGGAATCTTCAAGACTTAAGATGACCCTCACTAGGCTCTGCACATATTTGCCATGTCTTTCGGCAGGGTGTGTGTGTGTCTCAATTTCATTTGTGAAGGACATTAGATTGCTACAGTCCCTTCTTTCACTCTAAAGTGCAAGGATTCACAAACTCCAGGGAGGAAAAACAACATTAAACCACTGAGAGAAATCAACGTTGTCCACAAAGGAAGGATAGTTGCTGGCTTGAAAATGAAAAATGAAACCGCCACAACAAATAGCAAATACAACCTCCTGGACCCGTAAGCAAAGTGACTTACATCATGAACTTCTTCCACTGAGATATACGCTTCTGTGGGCAGCCCCAAGTCCTTGGGCTTCACGTCGATGATGACCAATACCTGGCAGAGAAACACAGCAATGTACCCCAGAACAGAATTATTGGAATCATCACTGAAGTGATTTTCTTCATCCACTCCAAAATGAGCCAAAAATTCCAGTAAAGCAACTTTATACATTTCATATGTTTCCACTGTTTGTTCTGCTTACTGCCTCCCTCCAGCAACAAGGAAACGAGTCTACACAGCCAGCATTTCATCTCCAGCTGCACCATTCCCCACACCTTACACCCCATTCTAAAACCCTCCCCCCTCTCTCACTTCTGAAGAGAGCAACCCTATGAAGTGACCGAGAAGATTCAGTCAGTTCATGTATTGGGCACTTCACAGATGTGTAATTACTAAAAACAGGTTACAGTACACTACACACATTACAAATGAACATAAAAGTTTAAGTTTATGGAGGGGAAAAGCTGTAAGATGACTTGCTCCAAGCCCTTCCAAGGCACTCTTAGCTTGAGTTGGTTGGCAAAGACTATCAAGCAGGAGTTTTGAAAACAGAACTTACTGAGTTAGGGCAGTATCTTTTCATGAGTTCATTGATGGCAATGTCATTCTTGTGTAGTTTAGGGCCTGTGTGGTACCATCCAACTATTCTTTCTCTAGCTGATAGAGAAAACAAAAACCAGTGTGTTTTAGTGGTTCCGTGAAGATCTACAGAACACGCCCCCAAAGGAAAAGAATGTCAGTAATTACATCCTTTCTGAAAATTCCAGATGCCTCTCCCTCCTTTATTTTTCTTTGATGGCCGATGACTTCTTTATTCTTTTTTTCTTTAAATCATTTTATTGGGAAGATGCCTCTCTTAAACCCCGCATCAATACTTGTTTTAATTCAAACTCAGAAACAGAATTCTCAGACTGGAAGCAACATGGGGAATCTCGACACGGATCTATCCTAGACCAGTGTAAGGGTCAGGCATACATGAGACAACTATAGAGCAATTCCAAGGCAGTACATAAACCAGCGGAGCCCATGTTGCAGCAACTCCACCTGAGAGCACAGCGGGAACAAACATTTGTGGTAACAGAATAAAAATGACACGCACGACAAAGACATTTTCACCCTGGGGGTGGGTGGCATTTATTTGCCAGCTCATTGCTTTCTGCTACAATCAGAAGGTCACCTCCTTCCTTCTCAAACCAAAATAGCCTAATTGGCCTTAAACTTTTTCTGATTTCTCATTTATTCTACTTTATGGCTCTACTAACTCTAGTTTTATTGTTTAAGTGAAAGGGGTTGATACCAAACAATGGGGAAAGTTAAAACACACACGCGCCTCCCTGCAGCCTCCCCATGCCATCACAAACGAGAAAAGCAAGACTTACCATTGACCTTCTTAAACATTCCATACATGTTTTCTAAATAATCATGGTCTAAAAACCAGACAGAATCATCTTTGTCATCTTCATCGAATGGGACTAGAGTGAGAGAAAAGATTTCGTTCAGGGCACTGGCGAGACCTCTAGAGCCCAGGTCATGACTGGAGGTCCCCTCAGCCAGAAGTGGCGCATGAGTGTGCACAAGTGTGGCCTGTTCAACACAGCAGCCTCCTCTAAAAGCCCCGTTCCTTCCTAATCTCTCCCATTTGGCAATTTATAATATGGGCTGCTCCTTGTAGGTATTTGAATTAGTGACTTCTAGTGCAGAGGCCATGTCAGCAATTATTTTGGTTCTTTATTGTTACTTTTGTCAACATTTTATTGCAATGTGGCCACACTGATTAGGCAAGTTCTGTCTGTCTGTGAAGGCTTTCATGTTACAATAGAGACCTTGCAGGTGATAAGTCTAAAAGTTACTACCTGGTTTAGTGAGTAGTTCCACACCCCACGAATGCTCACAATTATGAAAAATTATTCAAAGATTTGTGTTTCTTTTAAAATCAATTGATATTTTAACCATGTGTAGAAAAACGAACAGATTATCTTTTACCTGCAAAACTGTTTGATACATCGAGTACTTTCTTTTGCCATGACCCCAAAAGCACACCAACAACACGCTTCTGGTTTCCAACCTTGCCTATCCTGAAACAGAAAACAGATGGTTAGCTTCGATTCATCCACAGAAAAGTGGTTGTAATAACTAGGTATTTAATGAGAAATATTAATGGTACAGTTTGCAGGTTACTTGGGAACTAACCCCACTAAACAAATGTAGAACAGATTAGTTATTATTAAATGCTAATAAATATAATAAATATCTTTGACTTATATTAGAATGAAATGCATTCAGAGCCACCTTTTTGGTAGGCCTTATTGTTAGTACATTTGTTTTCTGAATCTTGGCAGTACACCAGTACTTTTCAGTGCGCTAAGTATAAGGAAGGGGGCTTCAACAAGTTCCCGGAAAATTGGACTTAAAAGATATTTTCCCCATAAACTTTCAGACGCTCCTTTGTATACATATAGCAGGGAATTCTGGTGACAATGTGGTTAAGTGCTTGGCCGCTATATGAAAGGCTGGCAGTTCAAACCCACTAGCTGCCCATGGGAGAAAGTATGTTTGTTTCTATAAAGATTACACTTGGAAAACCTATGGTCCTCATGTCTTATAAGGTCGCTGTGTTGGAACAGACTCAACAACAATGTTTTGGTTTTAGGGATTCTATCTGTAGTAACAAAACATTTGCCATTTCAGTTTTTTACGTGTACAATGACGTGGCATTCACTATGCACACTATTCATTTAGAAGGTTCTCTATCACTCTTAACAGCACTTTGTATTCACCAATGACCGCAAAGTTATATATGCTTGGAAAAAATCCAAGCTTCATAGAAATGTGAAATGGAGAAAATGGAAATTCCCCAAATTTTGATTTTTAGAATGCTATTTTATGCCATTTGAAAAACACAGGTGAGTTGTACTATCACAGCCAATTTTATTTCTTCCTCTGCAGTTTTCCTCTCTGGAAACCTTCCACCCTTCTCTGTCCTAGGGTCTTTTCAGGGATAAAGGTGCTGGAGCAGACAGAAACCGTTTGTGGCCCAGCTTCCAGGCTGCCAAACCTCTGAAACACTGATTTTTGGTCTAAATAGTGCACAGTAAGTGATTCTAAGCCAGCAACATGTTTATGGCCTCTCTCGTTTACTAGGCCAAAGGCAGACAGGAATGAACTGGTGAGTAGGCACACAGAGGACAGAATTACGGAAGTCCTCTGTGATTTTTCTCCTACGGAACCACCAATGTTTCACTTAAACAGCTTGTTAACAATGGTTTTTCAAGTCTCCTGTAACCTTAACAAAGGTGACACAATATAAACTTTTTGTTCAAAGGAAAGATAAAAGCCCATAGGGAAGGAGCATTTTCTTACAGTTGCTGCGTTTAACATTGGTTTATTTGGAATATTTTTCTTAATATATAGTCTGGTAAATTTATATATCCTTGTCAAATCTGGGTAGCCCTGGTGGCATAATGGTTACTTTTGGGGCTGCCAACCACAGTTAGTTCAAAACCACAGCTGCTCCATAAACGAAAAGCCTGAGTTTTCTACTCCTGTAAAGACTTACAGACTCAGAAATTCACAGGGACACTATGAGTTCATATCAACTCGATGGCAGCAAATTTTCAGTTTGTTAAATTTGGAGTGTGGATCAAACAACATTGAGTACTTTGAAACTCACAGCGTCTTTTTAATGTTGGGAGGAAATCTTCAGACACAGTTTCCATATGCCAACATGAAGTTTCCACATATTAAGGAAAATTTCACACATAGGGGACTTTTCTTTTGGTCTACAAAAATTTACTTATTTTGTTGTTTAAAAAAAACTCCCCTCGTGTTTGAATGCATAATTGGTGGTCTGAAATGCAAACTCCCCAGCTAATTAAAAAAAATATTCCTCCTTTGTTACTGACAGCAGCCAAGAATGTCCACCTGGTGTCTACACCACTGGAGCTTCCCTTATCAGTCTGGGAGAAAATTAACAACTGCTGAAATAGCTGAGGTCCTTACACAAAGGCACAAAACCGAAAACCAAATTCACTGCCATTGAGTCACTATGGACTCCTAGCGACCCCCTGTGGGTTTCCAAGCCTGTAACTGTATCGGGGATAGAAAAAGCCAAGTTATTCTCCTGCAGAGCTGCTGCAGGTTTCGAATGGCAGCCCAATGTGTCCCCACACCACCTGGGCCAGGAACCCTAAACCTTGTGGAATCTGCTTTTGGTTCTGGCTGAATCTGGAGTTGTACGAACTAAGTTGCAGGAGAACGGGCAGTTGGCAACCATCACTTAACAGATGCTCCCACCCGCGTTTTCCCATCTGCCACTTCAAGTGGTTATCTTGTAAAACTCACGAACAGGTCTAGCAGGATGAACAGCTCAAAAACAAGCCAGCGATGGCGGAACACCCTGGAAAAGCGATGGCTTGTCTTACCGATGTATGCATTAGTGCCCTCAACTTCCATAGGGCTCTATATTTTATAAAGAGAAACTAGACTGTCCCCCCAATGATTTGTCATTAAACCAGATTGCCATTTAGAAACTTTCACAGGTTATAAAAATCACAGTCCATTCGGGAAAGGGCCAACATTTCGGTGACAGCCCTCAGAGACACAGAGGGGAACCCGAAGCCCTTTTCCTTCATGACACGGCCTTTTCGGTGAAAATGAGCGAAGTGAGTGACAGATGGGGGACAAGTTCTGGAAGGATCAGGCTATCTGAAGCTCGGCCCCAAACCCACATCCTCAGATCACGAATCCTTCGGTAAAAGGAATAGGGGACCCAGATCCTGGAGCGGTGCGGCTGGGACGCGGGCAGGGGGGAAGCTGAGTGACTCTCGCTCCAAGGGTCCGGCCGCGCTCCCCCTCCCTCCATCAGCGCCCCCAGCACGAGCGCATCGGCCGCGCAGTCCACAGCGTGCCCGTGACTCAGCAGCGACGGCACCTCGGGCCCCGCTGGGCCGCCCCGCGTCGTCCGCTCACCGATTGAAGTGATCCACTACACTGAGCAGCACCAGGGGGTGGACGACCACCTTCTGCACCGCCAGCTCCGGCATCGCGACACACCCCGACGGCCAGGCCCGGCTCACGACGACCCGCGAACACCGGTAGCGGCTCCCGTGGCTCCCCCAGGCCTGGCACCTCCCCTTCCGGTTCGGCCTCCGGCGCGCGGCTCCGCTTCCGGTCCCAGCGTGCATTGCGCGGAGCGATCGCGCTCGCGCTGTCGCTACGGCGATGAGGCGGGCAAAACAAAAGGGATAAAACCAACCAACCAACGAACCCGCCCACCCAGCGCCAGGAAAAGAAAACTCACCCACCAACCCAGCACGGACGCCTTCATTAGATCCATAGAGCCCATAGGTGCTGCCTCAGGGGTTCCAAGGCTGGAAATCTCTGTGGAAGCAGACGGCCTCATCTTAACCTTGCAGACCGGCAGGTGGGTTTGAACCACCGACCCTTCCCTGAGGTTAACCGCGGTGCTTTGCGGCTCCCTGAGGAGAGAACTGCCGAAAGGCACTTACTGAGGGTTGCTTGTTTCCTCGGGTTTTGGAGGGACATTGAGGACTGAGTGATAGAGAATTTTCTCCTTGTGTTGGGCTGCGCAGTGACCCGCAGCGCGTTTTCCTCACCTCAGCTGCTGTCATTTAAAGGAGGCAAAATCTATTAATAAAAAAAGTAAGTTCATTAGAAAGAAGGTAGATATATATTTTAATCCCCACTGTAATGAACACAAATTGAGGTTTCAGCCCTGGTATAAGCTGAATTAAAAATAAAATAGTTAAAAATAAAAAGTAAATAATAATAATTTCCACATAACCCCTGCCCACCCGCCCTGTTCACGTTTGCGCCAAGTCAAATCCTTTAGGAATTCCTCCCAAAGTAAAACCCAACTCTGCCTCAAGTGCATATTTGACCCTGTGAGGTTCTGAGACTAAATCTTTACCCGAGTAGAAAGCCTCATCTTCCTGAGCGCAGCTGTGTGTATTCAAACTGTTGACTTGGAGGTCGGCAACCTAACTCACACCCCACTACACCACCAGGTTTCCATTTAGGAATTCCTGGAGAATTTTAAAATCCAGCATTGCCCATTGTCATCGAGTATGTCGGACTCAAGGTGAACTAATACATACAGTTTCTGAGAGAGGAGCAGAGAGCCTCATCTTTCTCCTGTAGAATGGCTGGTGGGTTTGAACCTGCTCCCTTGTGGTTGGCAGCACAATGCTGACTCGACAG